CCACCCGCCAGTGGCCAAGGTGAAGAAGCTGCTGGTGGCAGCCCTGGTTGGCCTGGGCCTAGCGGAGACCAGACCCTCGCTCCAGCTGCTCTTAACTGTCCTGGCTGGCAAACAGCAGGGGCAGCCCATGGGCTACAGGGACAGCTGAGCCAGCCCTGGAGCGGAGGCTGGACATTGTGACTTGTGAGCTGAGGTGGCCTGGATGCACAAAGCCCTGCCTGCCGGCTCCGCTCCCCTCCCCTCTCCCTGCCCAGCGCTGTAAAGAACTGTACATAATAAAACTGGTGAGATGGCTGGGGCTGGTGGCTCTGGGAGGGTAGGGAGCCTCTCAGCCAGGGGTGGGCTGCTCCAAGAATTGGGTAAGGGGTCAAAGGCTGCGCTCTTCCCTCATTAATGGAGGAGGTGCAGGGCCTTGGACAGCGGGGTGCAGAAGGGAGCTTGGAGGAAGGGATGGGGGTTACATAGCTGGGGGCCGGGGTGCTGCTGGAGGCAGGCTCTGGCCAGAAAGTGCTCCCCTGCTGCGCACCACTCAGAGCAGCTGGCTGCAGGGGCCCTGTGCTGTTCTGAACGCTGGCGGCCACGGAGAGGCTTCCAACAGGCAGCTCCCGTTGGCTGGAGCCTGGCTAATGGGAACTAGGAGCTTGTGCTAGAGGCATTACGAAGCTTCTCCCCCTTCTTCCCTGCCTTGCAGCATTCAGCTGCACGGGGCCCCACAGCTGGCTTTTCTGAGTTGATGCGGAGGCAGAGGCTCCACGCGGGCTGGGTCAAGCAGGGGCAGACCCTCTCCTGCAGCTCTGCCTTGGACTCCTGCCTCTGGGGGGGGAGTTGCAGGGAGGCTGTGGGGTAAAAGCCTGGGGGGCTGGAATTCATCAAGAAGAGAGGCCTTAGGTTGGAGGCACCTGGGGCTCTTGTGTCTCGGCCCTGTGGGTAACACTGTCGTCTCTTGTCCTTCCCCCCACCTGAGCAGGGGCGTGTGAGGGGGGAGAAAGGGGCTGATGCTGAGAGCACAAACTTGCTCCCCTGCCCCAGAAGGTGCCAACACCTGCTCATGGCCCCCCAAGAAATTAAACAAGCAGGGCCATGGTGGTAGCAACAACTCTGCACCCCTGCAGGGGCTTACAGCAGCTGCCCTCTGGTGAATTCCAGGGCCACTAGGAAACTGCTGCCCAGGATGGGGACAGGCACACAGCTCCACCGTCATTGGTACCAGGGTAGCTTAGAGGGCCTCTCGTAGAAGTTCCCTAACTTCCCTAGGGAGCCAGATCATCTGCTAAGGGTGGCCCGGCCCCGCCCAAAGAGGAGAGGAGCCCAGGTCTGGCTTAATTTAAAAACGGCTTTGTTGGCACTGCCCTCCTTGGGCACTGGAAAAGGGGGAGCCGGGAGCCTCCCCCTCCCCCCACTCCAGTCCTGGGGGGCTGGGCGTTGAGGCGCTAGCCCAGCTCCTCCCGTGTCTTGCCCACTTTCTTGGGCAGCTTCTTGGCGGAGGCGTCCTCCAGCTCCTTCGCCTTGTAGTAATGAGGGGCCACCTCCAGGAGCCAGGTGCTGTCGATCTCTATGACCTGCAGGATGGAGAGAGCGCACCGTAAGGACACGGGCCGCCTCAGCTGCAGCGCCCCCTAGTGGCTGAGGAGTGGTCCAAAATGCCGTGACTAGCCCTTTAAGGAAGAGCTCCACCTCCTTTATGCTAATGAAGTCAAACTCCACCCCCTGCAGGAAGGGGAAGGGACTAACATTGATCAGGGGATGTTCCTTTCCAGAATATGCCCTCTAGTGGGTGGAGGATTCAGTGCAGCGATACTAAGCTCCAGAGGGCCACTGGCAGGGGATGTTCCTTTTCGGAATATGCCCTCTAGTGGGTGGAGGATTCAGTGCAGCGATACTAAGCTCTACCCAAGTCCGGAGGGCACCAGTAGCACAGTACCAGGGCTAAAAGCCCCTCCCTGCTAGCTGTGGGGGTGTAAAATGGCAGGGGCGTCCTGCAACAGTTTGGTCCAGGCTCTTTCTCCAGCAAGGGGCAGTGAAAAGCAAGGCTTAGCTCCCAGCATGCCCCACAGCCCCACCTGTCTCATGAACTCCTTGGTGGTGAAGACCAGCTCGTGGTAGATGAGCCAGCGGGGCTGCTCCTCGAACAGGCAGCTGTTGGGGTGGACGAAGACTGTCTGCTGGTGCTTGACCGTCTTGTAGCCGGTGCGGGTCAGGCG